TTAGTCCTCAAGCTTTACTAGTGTCAGTAGTGATGCGCTACGCAGGCGGACTGCACCAATATGGCGCTGGTCACGTGACAGTTGTGAGAAACTGGCGACGCTGCGCACAACGCTGAGCGGCTGTGTACGAGCGTTCTACTTCTATTCTATTTCTGTGGGAGTAACCAATGTGCCTAACCCTAATTCTAACCCTAACCCTAACCCTAACCCTAATCCTAACCCTAACCATAACCCTAACCTATTATATTAATATAATATTATATTTATATTGATGTAAATGACATTGGTTTTATTGGGATACATGTTCTCTATCCTTGAACCGAAACGCCTATGAACTGAACTATGGCGAAGGAACTGGTGCTACGCTGGCGCGAGAGGTGACTAGTGCGAAGTGACTAGTGCTGCCACGTAGCGGTCGTCCTTTTGAGACATGTGAACGAGTGCTAACCTATCCCTATACATGTATGTATAGTGTGCAGTAGGATGGTGCCACACATGCCGCCATGTTTGGCGCGCGCACATCTCGTGCTGCGCATGTCCTTTCTAGTTGTCTATCTATTTCTATGATTCTGAGTGTGGGAAGGGGCACTGCATGCAGTTTGGAGTGGCGTGTAGGCTGCCATTTTATTAATCACGTGACTTTTGATAATCATGTGACTCGACACGCTGCGATGATTGGCTGCCACTCACGATTTGTCGCCGACAGCCGCTTGGAAATAGGATCGCAGTCGGCGACAGTATTTTCGATCGTAAGAGAACTCATGTCGAGTTTGGTCGCCAATGTTTTTATCGGCGATCTGGCCGGTTTCAGACGTACGATATTCAAATCTTGTAAGCGACTAGGTCGTAAGGCCGACATAATCGGGCCTTTAGACCATAAAAATCAGTCAAAAGCTGTTTACAGACAACACAACACAAGACATATTTTTATTAAGTTTTATTTGGAATGATACAAAACGTATAGGTACCGGTATCTATCTATACACTATTTACAGTACAGTAAAAGCACGACTGCTTACTTCACAACGAAGAAATAAGGATGACAGCTGCTATAAAGCATACTATTAAACGGCTAACCATTTTACCATTTTGCTAGATCACAGAGGAGCAATTGCACTTTCGCAAAATAACCGAGGTAAATTAAAGTGCTAGCGCATGACAGTGCCAACCTCCTGTCTTCAATCTACACATAGATTAAACTGTTCCTCAGCCACAACTATCCAGAAAATACGTCCCGACGGCACAGCAAACATAATTAGGTGCATTTGGAAGCAGAGATGTTAGAGGTAAAATGGGAACTATGATTTATGATTTCAATTAGCTTAATAGTATTTTAGCTAAACACTGGCAGACCATTATAGCACAGCTCTATCAAAAGCTCACTCAACACTAGCAGAGCCCTGATAATCATAACTTGCTCCACACCAGATCGTTATAGCCTTGCTACATTGCAAGCTTACATAATACATCAAGTAGATGTAATAATGTCAATTCAGCCAGAACTATCCTGCTGTGCTTGAACATGAAATCCACACACAAATATGCAACTCGCATGCACACCCCCCCCCCCCGGGAATTTTTAAAAAATTTGGCTATATTTGGTGCATTCTGGTGAATTTTGAGGACTGTGACCGGTTTCTGGAAACCGGTGCAAACCGTCCTAGATCCGCACCTGCGAGCTTAGTGCACGATCAGGATGAGGGAGAATGAAAATTTAACAGACAAGTAACACCAACTCTGTGCAGAAGTCACGACACTTTTGGTCATTATACATATATTATATACACACAGCCCTAGCATCCACTGATGCTGCTGCACATGGGTTTACAACTCCTGCATGATGATCTGTTGCTTCTTGCTGGCAAGTGCCCGTACACTTGCCGTTACATTGGCATCCCGTGCTGTGATGACAGTTCCGCCCTGAAATGAAAAATTTGTGATACTAACTTGTTGCTCAATCTCCTGCTAATCGCACTGACAAAAACCCCATTTCCTTTACGTAGCTAGCTGTACACCCGTTACCCACATTTACAACATATTACACCATTGCTCACAATTTTGGAGCTATGCGAGTTTCTCACCTGTTTAAGGCAGTTCAGGCACCGCTTCAGGGATCGCACACAGGGTTCGAGCAACACAATGACATCCAATGAGCCACAGCAGATGTTCTCAGTAATGCTGATCAGCTCTTGTTCAAACTCCTGGGGATCCCAATGTATCACAAAACAGTCGTACTCGTCTGCTGACAAAATGCAGTCATACTGGAAAAAAATAGTGAGAACCTTGAACACAATCCAGTGGTGGTGAAAGGTAGTGTACTACACACCATAAGTTGCAGCAAGTGATGTTCCATTCATTTACTTTAAACTACTTACTTGATCCATGAATTACTTGAAAGCAAGCAATAAAGGAAGTTTACATTTAACATAACAGCAAGCAAACTACACAAGTTTTTGAAATTAATGAGGAGTAGACAGGTATGTATGAATAATACCAAATACTTACATCTGTGGCAGCAGCGACAATCTGATGTGTGCCTTTAAATCTCTTATTGGCTTCATCAATGACCTTGTCGAGTGCTTGGCCACAACCAACCATTAACACAGTGCATGGACCTAGTAAAAAAGCAGGTAACCATTAGAATATGGAACACTAGCAACAGATTCAGCATTCTAAAGCTAGGTTCACACTAGAAATTTTTTATAAAGATTTTTTAATTTCTTATGAAGAAATCTTTCAGTAACATCTGTTCACACTATAGACTTGTCTTTGAAAGTTGATGAAAGTTGGTGATAAACCAGACGCATTGACTGGATATCATATTATATAATATAATATAATCAGTCTGGATATAATATTAGAGGTCAATTGTGAGGTCATAATGGCCATCTGATATGCTGTGCTATGCTGTGATATGCCGATATGATTTCGATATTATCTGGTGTCTACACGCCACAAACAATCGTACTTCTCGAATAACTCAATCAGCTGTTCTGTTTTATCGGCGGGCGCCATTTTCTGCATCATGTGCGGCCGCATCAGAGATGACGCAAAACTATTTTTACACGTAGGAACTTGCCAATCAGCGAGCAGCGCTTCTATGATTTCATGACGGCGTCGAGCAAAATAGAGCTATTTTGCCCGACACATCAATTTTTCAATTTTTCGCAACATCAACTTTTCTTTTCTGTTCACACTATCGATTTTGAGATGGGAAATATAAAAATCGCTGAAAATCAAGTCACTTTCTCGATTTTACGACAAAAAATCGCTAGTGTGATCCCAGCTTAAAATGACACACTGATATCCCCGAACTGCATATTTATAGTAGAAGAAACCATCACACCAAATTTAACTCCAATGCATTAAGACTAGTTAGAAAGACCCGGCACAGAACATTGCTTACATGAACCCTTTTCGCTCTTGATCTCATCCAGCACGGGTGCAATAATGCTGACTGTCCGGCTGGGGTTGAGTGTCGGGCAGGATATGTCAGATGAAGTACTCTCCTGGCTGGAAAATGTCGGCAGCTTATGGTTCTTTGGTAGCACACCAAACTCGTGGACAGTTTTCTGGTCGACCTTCATACTGCAAAAAAAAGAGCCATGTGATTATTATGCAGACTATATCATGCCTATATCAATTTCGAGAATGCTTTTACTCGTGCCCTATAAACTAGTCCACGAATGGGTGCGTTATCCAGTGGCATGCTTAATGCTTATTCCAGCTAGCATCACGTGCCGCTATTCATACATTGACCGCTTTCCGCAGTCGCTGGGTGGGTGTTAGCTCTAGTACTATAGACCGCGGATAGCTGCCGCAGGTGCGGGCAATACCTGCGGTAAGCAATACCTGCGACAGCTATGATCCAGGGGTCGAAATTAGCGGTATCCCGATATCCGCGGGATACCAGATTCTTGTGTTGGATACCAGATTTCAATGCTTGGTATCCCGCCGGGATAGTAAAAAAAAAATCGTCAAAATCGGGGTAGTGGTTGTTGAGTTATCAACTTTATACGGCAGCGCATCTGAGCGAGTGCGCGCAGAGTGCGAGAGCGCGAGTGCGCACCCTTACTATGCCACACTAGCGTTATCCACTAGCGTTATCCACTCGACCCAATAATTTTGCAATTTTACAGCAGGCATAGCATATTTGCAAGCGCAAGCGTAATAAGCGTGGCCGATGTTGATAAACACAAATGTCATGTGTATACATTGTATCAAGCGAACCAGACAATGCGGCTAACCAATCCGTCTGCAGTGTCGTGTGGAGGCGTATGTAAAATGAACGCGAGCAACATTTGGCAAAACATTTGGAAATTTTATGACATGGGGTGAATTTTATTCGCAATATATACCTTTAATGATGTAGTTATTAAATACCGCTCACAGGGAGTGAACTACAATATCAGGCGATCGTTACATCGCTCGCGGCTATTGTAATGGCAGGATACCCGAGTGTTTTGCCGCTCGAGAATGCACTCAGCCCACTAACGATTAGGCGCGGGAGTATATGCTGAGCACGTACTGTGTCGATTGCGCGATGCATTGTGGAAAGGCTGCGCTTCGCTCACTCTGCTGCGCTTCAGATTTGTTCCTGTTTTTTTAAACCACACTCACAGCTGTTGTTTTCATTCAGTAATCTATCATTAATTCGTAGTAAGATTAGACAGTTCAGAAAATTAAATACTTACACTTGACCGCCATACACTGCCTGGTTCAGCAGTCGTACGATCGCGCGAACCACGTCAAAATGTCTGGGATAAAACGCCATCTTAGAGACAGACCAGAAGCGAATATGTAGATTCTGAGTGACTCAGATCTGAGTCCAATGCCAGTGTGCATATTGTGGTGTGATGGCCATATTAGCTGCTAGAGCGTAGCTCTAGAGCCGATAGCCTCCGCTCCGCCGCATGCGAGTGGGCGGGTTAGTTCTAGAGCTACTGTAGAGTCTACTGGTCTAGTTGACTCTGCATCGATCGAAACCGGTCTGTGCCCATATCTTTAAACAAGATTTTCATATTATGCCGTTATACTGGTTTATAGTTCAAGGTATTTAAGTTTATGTATTCGGGTCTGCTGCGGTTCGTGTGTTGGTGTGCACTGGTTCGCGCGCGATCGATATTAGCGCGTCAGCGCAGCCGACCGGCTGCGGACTGACTGAGGGCGAGCGAGCATACATGTACGTTGGCCGTATAGCGTGGCGTTATTCGTGTGTTCCTCACTTCGCTTATGGGCGAATGGTATTGTCGCGTGGCGGAGGTATGCCACTCTTCCGTGCATGTGCCCTCTGTCTAGCTTTAATATATTAATGCTGATACATTTGTCCTGTGTGATTAAATGTTATGATAGTTGTGTTATTATAGTCAGTGAGTCAATGCTGCTGCCTATGTATTATTTTCATGTGACTTGAGGACAAATACTATTTTGTGATAGAGCTAGCAACAGCGATTGCAAACTGCAGCAGACTCTGTGCCTGTTTGTACTGCACCATTCCTTAACATGGTCATCTGCTGTTCTATTTGACTGCGTTCATAAGCTTGTCTGTGCATATCTGTGAATCTGTTTTCATGTTTTTATATAATAATTACATTACATATTAATAATTTTCAAATGCTATTATTGAGATACTAGCTGCTATATAATGCTACTATTTCAAGATTTTGGATACCAACATTTTTTAAATTACTATCCCATAAATGGGATACCAGATCTTTGGGGGGGATACCAGATTTCAATACCTATAGTACCCCGAATGGATACCAAAATAAAACTCTAATTTCGACCCCTGCTATCCGCGGGCTATAGTACTAGAGCTAGGTGGGTGTGCACTGTGCAAGAGAACGCGGCGTGCTCAACTGAGCCGTAAACCACAACGGCTGCTAGTATAGCGCGCTCTCGCTGCGTCATTGGTGACCGCTTCCCAGGCACATTAGCCGACCACATACACGATGCATCCTCCTCAACGGCTGAATAGTAATCTCGCGATTTCAGACATATATACACGGCCGAAAATACATCCGAGCAATATTATATCTATCCAATCACCGTCCTAGACATTACCATATCTTACATTGGTATCTCTATCCTTGAACCGACATCACTATACATGCATGTCATATGTCACAATCACGCATTTTACGCTATACAACGTTAAGTACTGTAACTACATTACATAGGCATATGAACGCAAGTTTTCAAGTGATTGAATTAGGCTGCAGGCAATTTCAGTCACTGGCAGCAAGAACAAGCCCGCACGTACAGCACACACGCGGCCATTGACTATATTGCTACCGGGTACTGCTATACTGCTGACCATATGCCAAATTATTGTTATATACAAGCTTGTTGTAAATGTAACATAACTTGTTGTTATTAAAATATTATATAGTCATGCAATGGCCGCGTGTGTGCTGTAGGCCTATACACGTGCGGGCTTGTTCTTGCTGCCAGTGATTTCAGTGTACAACCACGTAACAAGAACAAGAGCCGCAGAGCGTCTGGGCTCATCTGAGGTCTGTTGCTACGATTATAAACGTAAAATTTCAGTCGTGCGTAGTACCACATTTGTTAGGCGCAGATATGCAGACACGCAGTTGCGTACACATCATTGTTAGGACACGCCCACTATCGCAGATGGAGGGTAGGAGGGTGTGGGGAAGGG